TGCTTTTCCACCCACCCACTTCGAGGCAACACCTTTCCGAAGCACCCTCAACATGATATATACCCATTCGAATTACACCATCACTCAGATAAATGACTTCCGGTTGTTCAATTTAGCTGAATATCATTTCACATGACGCGTATTTTCATGCATTTCATAGACTGGTCAAAAGACTTCGTTCACACTTACATATCTGTTGATCGGAACGATTGTTGGCAAGCAAAATTTGAGAATAGAACATTGGCTCGGATCCAAAAAATAGAAGTTGCTTCATTTTTCGCTTTGTTCAATTGATTCTATCGTTCAATCAAGTAGATTGCAAAGAGACATCCTTCTTGGAACATATCTAGCATTTATTTGAACGTTCAGCAAAGATATCTCGAGAAATGCAACATGTTGAATCAAACCAATTGCTTTCTACATTTTTTAACGGCTGTTTGCAATTTCCGATCAAAATCTAGAACAGAGAATGCCATTTTTCAAAAATTATTCAAGAAATGGATCAAATCTTACCATCAAGATCAAATCTTCACCCTCTCCCTATGCTTTTCCACCCACCCACTTCGAGGCAACACCTTTCCGAAGCACCCTCAACATGATATATACCCATTCGAACTACACCAGCACTCAGATAAATGACTTCCGGTTGTTCAATTTAGCTGAATATCATTTCACATGACGCGTATTTTCATGCATTTCATAGACTGGTCAAAAGACTTCTTCTTTTTTCGAATGTACCCAGTTGACCTTTGCCATTTCGTGTGTTAGAGACGTCGTTTGAATTTTATCTGGTAGAAGCCGGAAAAATAGCCGGACAGCCGTGTTTCGGGTTTGCTGGCTGGTATGTGGAAGGCGGTGGGAGCTCTGGAAGCTGGGTTTTGGTGGATTTTGAAAGGTGGAATTGTTTGTCCGGACCGTTACTGCGTGGTAGGGTGTGCTTGTAGATGATCATTGGGTTGTTTTTAGGTTGGATTTGGATGTATTTGTTTGTTTTCGAGGATGAAAGGTATTGCTGTTTTTTCTGGTCAAATGTTTGTGGAAGATTTGTTTGGCGATAGTGTGATACATGTCTGACGGAGTTGTATTAGTTGTCGATGTGTTCGAAAATGATGTGATGGATATTGTGGTGTTGTTAGTTTGGCTTTTAGAGGCCTATTGATAGGAGACTATTCGATCTTTTATGGTAATGGCCATTGATGTGTGTGTGGTATCATTAATTGTTCAATTGCTTTGCAGTTATCGATATGCTCCGTTAGTATAGAGGTGATAAGGACCCCCCTTGGTTAATTGTTGTCCGTTCTGTCATAGACATGAACAATGCAGAGAGCACATGTGAGAATATTCACTGAAAGAGGCGATCGTATAAATACTGTGTCATTTGGAACATAATATCATTCACTTGCTTCTTCTGCTACGAACTATTATTCAGCAACAATTCATCGTCAAATGGCTGCATCGTTTTATATGACCTTGTTGTCGAATATGGATCCAGATGATTCTACATTAATCTTCAGTACGAACCAGCTAATGACAATATTGCGCGTATATGGAGAATATTGCATTGAATTGTATCGAGAAGGGGTATGCGAACGATTTCATTTGTTTTGGTATAACGTTTTTCCATTTTACAGGCCGATCCTAATTACAAAGTCGCTGTGGTATCGGATGTATTGCAGGATATAATTGATTCTATTGTACATGCGGAGAATGTCGTTTTAAACGGCGCTGTCAGAGATACAGCTTCTCATATGACAGATGAAGTTGAAAGTAAATCAAAAGAAATGCTTTTGAACTGTAAGAGATAACATTTTCTATAACTTAGATTTGGAAACATCAAGCCAATTTTCATTGAAAGTTCAATGTTTGTTTCGGAGTGATACAGCACTTGCCCAATTGTTACGACCAGCGCTTTTACCACAAGCACAAATATGTGACATTAGTCATCAGACAATTGATGAAGCTTATGAAAAAGCAATGAAGAACACACGAGTAATTGTCCTTGTATCTTGTAGTTGATAAGTGATGAGTTCGAAGATTTTTCGTCTACAATGCTATCATTTTGTTATTCTCACGGTGTCTTCATTTTAGGATATGAAAGCTTTATACAAACAATTCAAAAAACTACAACGCCTGTGGATTCAATTTAAAAATATACCGCCTACGACAAACAACTAGATAAATTAGAAAAACAAATATTATCTACTCTAGCACGTTACTTAAAAAGAATATTCCTTTTTTGCCTGTTGGAAAATACACAGACTCGCTTTCTAATCACTTAATGTTCTATTTCTATTCCAGCTATGGACTCATTCAGACCATCCATATTGAATTTAATCTTTGTTTCAGATCATTTCTGCTCATTTGCTTCTACTTCTATCAATTAACCGACATTCACAGATCATTTTCAGATGGCTGCCTCATCTAATTCAAATATGACATCGACTATGGGAGTAGACGGTCCTATGTTTACTCTTAGTTATCGTGATTTGATGACTTTGATGCGGAGATGTGAAGAAAATGCTATTCAAAGATATCAAGAACAAGTTAGAAAGACGATTCATTTGTTTTTTCACTCATGTTTTTTTATTTAATCAGGAAACGCTTGCCGCAATCGCTACTGTCGTCGAGACGACACTGAATGAAATTGTTGCGGCTGTTGTTGTTGAAGTCGAAAATGCAGCTGTAGCTGCTGACGTTGAAATCACCATGGATCATCTCAAAACCGAAATCATCAGTAAAAGAGAAACTAGATTTTTTTTAAAACTTACCCTGTTATTACTTAGATTTGGAAAAAATCGATCGATTTTTCTTGCAAGTTGAGAAAGTCTTCGACGGAAATAAAACACTTGCCGAACTCTTATGCCCTGCGTTTCTGACTCTTCCACCAGATGCACAATATCCCATGTACTATGACGAAGCTGCTGCAGCTTTTAAAAAATCAATGCACAATGCACGGGTAATTATCGTCGTATTTTACAGTTGAGAAGTGCTGCTGGAAAAACGTTGCGGATGATTTTCGAGAGAGTTTGCGATACTATTATACCATCTCTTTGTTTCAGATTTTGACCCAAATGTACAAGGAATTGAAAGAAATGAAAGAATGATCAAATAAAACAAATAATACTTACTCCAGCACCTTCATTTCATCATAATCAACTCTTCTCTTCTGCTGTAGATCACATTTTCTTGTTTCTGGATTCATTTACTCAAATAAATCTGTCTTGGTCGAAGTTAATCTTGTTATTAGGATAACACAACATACAATTCAACGAGAAAGATGAGACTCTAGCAGTAAATAATGAGAATGGAAAATTGTCTTCTACATACTAAAACTTCTCTTAAATGACCATTTGCTCTGATTGATAATTTTGGCATTGATCCAAAAAATTCCATTGGTCATATTTTAGTTTCCACTTCATTTTATTATCAAATTAATCCACCTGTGTGTATTGCCATCATCTAGACAATCAAATATGATACTATAATGGCAACAAAATCTTACTTTCCAGTGTTATGAATTAGATTTTATATTATTCGTAGCTCGAAGTTACATAGATGATGATACTCCTGATTGCACAATAGCAAAGCCAATGAATTTCAATAATAAATTATTTGATCGTCTGAAAATAACATAGATATTTATGAAGATAGTTCTGATTTGATTCGTACTACGTTTCTGAATATAAAAGAACAAGAAGAGAAGAGAATGATATAGATGTCGTTTCGTCGATGAAATAATTGGGAAATTTTGTTCCTAAACTAACAAAAAAAAAGAAAAGAAAAAGTGTGTCTTCAATTATCTACTCGTCAAAGAAGTTATACGGTTAGTATTCCAGAGCAAGTTCTCAAGAACGATGGATAAATCATAGATTTAATTGTGGTAAATTAATTTCTTAACAGAACAAACGAAGAACAAACTTCGTTTTTATGGTGTATGCTTTAAATGCATATGAGTGTACGGATGTTCGAATATTCCAAGATTCATATATAATATAATAGACATTCTACAATTTGCCATACTTTATCACAATTCCTTCTTTGGTGTTCTGCATATGATCAGTCGTGTTCATGAGGGATGTTTCTATTATTATGATACCACTCATCATCGAATTTGTCCCGTTTGAGTATTTTTTTTCTTATTTATATAATCAAATCTGTGTTGTTCTTCCTTTTAGATCGTAACCATATTAAGCACGTCTTGTTCTTTTGATTGTTGTGTTAATTTCAAATAAATGATCGCCAGTTATAAACTACTTTAATGTATCTAGATTTATTTTAAATATATACAATAAAGAAACACACTAGAATTACCACACATATGCCGTCTACAGACACAAATCAATTCAAAATAATAAAAATAACGTTTAAAAATTGTTATTATCTTTATGAACAAGTTATACATTTTTTTTTCATTGGGATCTTTTTCTCTGTTCTAACGTCTTTGTTTAGAGTTTGCCATAAATGAACATTGCAGTGCATACACAAAATATGTTGAATACATCTGGTTTTTTTTTGCGCAGTAGCATATAGTCACATACATCTCTGTTTTTACACACTTAGAATGCCAGATAACGGGATAGCAGTGGGAAAATAGTTTTAAAACAGATCTTCGCCCACTAAAATTCTTATAACATATTTGTTATTCAACCTCCGTTCGATCCGAGTCCTATATATATCAACCAAAACAGTAATTGGTGGGTTTATCATTCAAACACAGATCAAGCCATCGAATTAATCCATGACGTGAACCATTTCATTTCTATGGAATTTCTTTTTATGTTCTAGATAATACACAAACATTGTTCGCACTCTACACTAATTCAGTCAAAAACAATAAATTAAAGTAAATTATCATTGCATTTGTTCACTAAAATCATTTTCTCCTATGCTTTAGTGTCATTAAGTCGTAGAAATCTAAATAAATATTTACGTAATCAAAAACTAAGTTGTTTGCCTCCATTTACTCCTGTCAATGATTATGAAGTTTTCTTTCTCAATCGTTTATCCAATACAAATNACCCACCCACTTCGAGCCAACACCTTTCCGAAGCACCCTCAACATGATATATGCCCCTTCGAGCTACACCATCACTCAGATAAATGACTTCAGATTGTTGAATTTAGCTGAATTTCATTTCACATGACGCGTATTTTCATGCATTTCGTAGACTGGTTAAAAGACTTCTTTTTTTTTTCAAATGTACCCAGTTGACCTTTGCCATTTTGCATGTTAGAGAGGCCGTTGGGGTTTTGTTCAGTAGAACTCGTGAAAATAGGCGGACAGCCGGGTTGTGGGCTTTGTAGCTGTTTTCTGGAAGGTTGTAGGAGCTCTGGAAGTCGGGTTTTGGTGCTTTTTGAGGTTGAGGGTTCCGGAGCGGACGGTTGCTGTAAGTTAGAGTGAGTTCATAGATTATAATTCAGGGCTCTCGAGGTTTGATTTGGTTGCGTGTTTTGTTTTTGAGGAGGATATGTAGTGCTGTTTTTCATGTTTGGTTCTCATAGTCGTTTCGATGGGTAGTGTTGTTATATATGAGGAAAGAAGTGGTGTTCGTTGTTGATGAGTTCGAAAATGATGTGATGGGCAGTATGGGTGTGTGAGTTTGGTTTGTAGAGTCGTATTGAGATTGACATGGTGGTGATGCATTGAGAGGAGTGTTTTCTATTTGGTATGGTAATTTGCATTGACGTGTGTTGGGTATCGTTAATTGTTCAATTGCTTTACAGTTATCCACATGCTTGGTTAGAATGGAGGTGATATGGGCCCCCCTTGGTGAATTGTTTTCCGTTCTGTCGTTGACATGAACAATGAAGAGAGCACATGGGAGAATATGCACTGAAAGAGGCGATTGTATAAATAGTGTGTTGTTGGCAGCATATTGTCATTCAGTTGTTTGTTCTGCCACTAACTATTATTCAACAACAATTCATCGTCAAATGGATGCATCGTTTTATATGAGCTTGTTGTCGAATATGGATCCGGATGATTCTACGTTAATCTTCAGTACGAACCAGCTAATGACAATAATGCGCATATATGGAGAATATTGTGTTGAACTTTATCGAGAAGGGGTATGCGAACGATTTCGTTTGTTTGATATATCGTTTTTGAATTTTACAGGCCGATCCTAATTACAAAGTTGCCGTGGTGTCGGACATATTGCAGAATATAATTGATTCTATTGTATTTGCAGAGAATGTCATTTTAAACGGCGTTGTCAGAGATACACTTTCTCATATGACACATGAAGTTGAAAGTAAATGAAAAGAAATGCTTTTGAACTTTAAGAGATAACATTTTCTATAAATTAGATTTGGAAACATTAAGCCAATTTTCATTGAAAGTTAAATGTTTGTTTCGGAGTGATACAGCACTTGCTCAATTGTTACGACCAGCGCTTTTACCACAAGCACAAATATGTGACATTAGTCATCAGACAATTGATGAAGCTTATGAAAAAGCAATGGAAAACACACGAGTAATTGTCGTTGTATCTTATAATCGGAAAATGATGAGTTCGAATAGTTTTCGTATACACTGCTATCATTTGGTTATTCTGACGATGTCTTTATTTTAGGATATGAAAGCTTTATACAAGCGATTCAAGAAACTACAACGCCTGTGGATTCAATTTAAAAATATAGAGCCTACGACAAACAACTAGATAAATCAGAAAAACAAATATTATCTACTCTAGCACGTTACTTAAAAAGAATATTCCTTTTTTGCCTGTTGGAAAATACACAGACTCGCTTTCTAATCACTTAATGTTCTATTTCTATTCCAGCTATG